GAATATTATTTTCGTGAACAAAACAGAGATGAGAGATATATTTCGTGGTTTATGCTGACAGCCTGAAGTGTTGATGTACGACAAACATATTTTTCCAGAATTTAATTGCCCATAATTAAAGGTGCATATAACACACGAGTGGGTATTATACACGAATAAATAAGTCTTGTGTACATTGATCAATCGGAACGGGTTATCATTGGGATTGTTCACAAGTCGGACACGACATGTATTTACTATAGAAAAACGCTAGAACGGGAGGTTAAAATATTTTCTTTGCATTTTCATGAATGCTCTTGCAGTGTATACGTCACGAAAATAACGTCCATTGTTACTTTGAGTAAAGGAAAACATTATTTCAGCTGTTTCGAGAATCGAAAGTGTTCCTCACATGAGTGAAATGTAAACAATGACACACATCCCATTCTTAACAGTAATATGTGCATTAATAATACGTGTCAGCTCAATACATGGAATTACAATGCAATACATGGAATTAAACGGCGACGTTAATGAAACACCGTTAGCATCTTTATTTTAGCAAATGTAATGAAGCAAATGTCGCCGTTTATGCCCCGTTTCTCCCATTGTGAAATGGTCGTTTAGCGGAATTATAGAACGCCAAGTATAAAAAATAATGGTGTTTAATGATAGGGTATGTCATTGGTGCTGATATTTGGCCTCTGGATTTTATTCACATGAAACGCCCTTTATTTGGCATTTGTTTTCTTATTAAACAATGAAATTAATCATAAATAGTTCTAATAATTTTTTGAACATATTGGATGGATTTCAACCTAATGTTTCCGAACTATGTGTGTGCTTGTAAGAATGTCGGGGCTAAATAGGATAATAATAAAGAATATGTTCATATTTTTAAATTAATTTGGTACAGTAGCATACACATCCATGAGTATTCTATATGATGCAATATGGCCACTGGGGAATCCGAGTAAACATAACATAAAGAAGTGTGCATATCATTATTATTGAAAAATAGTTATGATTATCACAATATCATGATAATCATCAGGTGAGATGAAATACCTGTGTCCGATTTTTTTTACAAATAAACTACTCAATAGGTGAGTGAGTGAGTTAAGGTTAACGCCGCTTTTGACATTATTCCAGTTATATCACGAAAGCCCGAAGTGATGCAGGTATCAGACGTTTACCACTTCGGTGAAACCAACGAGCATGGGTATGATGCTGACAAACCTAGAAACACAATCATAGGTTTCTGGCATGCCCAAGGGACGCAATTCTGCACAGCGAGTCGCGGCGTCTTAGAGGACTGGGGCACCCGTGCCCCCACTGCTCAATAAAAGAAGTTCAGTTACATTATTGTTCAAGCTTAGGAAAAAACCCAGTATGATCATGACGGTAATTCATAACATTAAAAGGGCACAGAAATTTTAATATTTAAAGATGAGAGCTGGAGACATGTGTACTTTCCACTATTTATTTGTGAACTGGTTAACTAGGGGTAATGATTACCGGTACGAATGGAACATGTCTTGACTATGAGTACCATAGTTTTGGGGGCTTAAAGCCAGTTTCAAAGCATATACTGACATCATTCAGAACATGATATACAAGTAGATCTGACAGAAGTAATAAATAACATACATGTAATATGATGTCATCATTTATTCAGCCAGTGGATAAAATGATGCATTGCTTCACACTCTTATGCTTTAACAGTACTGCTTCCATACCTGCAGCTGGATCAACATACAATCAGTGATTTTGCTTTGAATTCAGGAGAATTTATACTGATCTTGTTGACCATTTTGCATTGTAATTTACATACTAAAAAGTTCCAAAACTGATTATGTTAACTTTTCTTTTTGTTTTCATTCCGGACATCATGTTCATCAGCTTTGATTGTTTTTAGATTGTTCAATTTGTAGAAAACAAAAAACATGGTATTTACTCAGATGTCTGATTGTTGAAAACTCTTTGCAGTTAATGCAGATTGGTCAGTAGATACATCTTAAATTACAATTATTTTTAATTTGCTTGAAAGTTATGGTTATTTGCTACTTGTATGTGCGTTACGTAGAATGCATTATTTGAATTTTGATAATATAAAATATGTATCATCATAACTTGGTGACAACCCCCACTCCCCCACCCAAGATACCATGTTTATGACAATAGACTGCAGATGGAAACATTTTTAAATTGTAATAACTACTTAGCTTTTTACCAAACTACAGCCCTTGAAACTGTGTGTTTCACACATAGTTTCCTATGGTTTTCTTAACCAAATCCATTGCCACTTTCAGGACAAACTGTTTGGGTGTCTGGACCTCAAATATGGCATTGGTATCTAGCAGAATTTCATGGCATAGTGGATTTCCATATCAACTAGAAAACCTGCCAATGGTTTATGATAAAGCTTACTATAACCTCAGGTTTGAGTGTCTTCAGGTGATTAATTGCCACACCATGACTTCTGTTACATTAAAAGAGAATACACATGGATGTGTATGCCACTGAACCAAATTAATTAAAAATAATGAACATATTCTTTATTGACCCAATTTTTTTTATAAGCATACACATAGTTAAAAAAAACAATAGATTGAAATTAATCAATTTTTTTCTCCAAAATTATCATATCTATTTATGATTAATTTCAATGTGTAAAAATAAAACTAATGCCAGATAAATGCCTTTTTTAATGTGAATAAAATCCAGAGTCCAAATGTCAGAACCAATGACAGACCCTGTCAATTAATATCATTATTACGGATAAAAAGTGTTTGTTTTTTTTAGTTATTATACTGGGCGTTCAATAACTCCGCTAAACCACCCACTTTACAATGGGAGAAAGCGGGGCATAATCGGCGACATTTGCGTTATCAGATTTTCTGAAATAAAGATCGTCTACGATTTCATAATAACAGTGAGCTGACACGAACTATTAACGCACATGACGCTCTGAAAATAAGGTGTGTGTCATTGTTTACATTTCACCGATGTGACGACCACGTTCGAGTCTCGAAACAGTTTAAGTCATGTTTTCCTTCACTAAAAGTAAAAATGGACGGTATTCTCGTGACATATACATTGCAAGAGCATTCATGAAAATGCTAAGAAAATGTTTTAACCACCCGTTTTGGCGTTTTTCTATAGTAAATACATGGCGTGTACGCCATGTTTGTTCGTCTAGTGGAGGCGGCCATTGTGCAGTCATTGCCTGGGTGTTCTTTCTCTTCGTTCTCGTTTTGGCTGATGGAACCCAAACTAAGGTTTCAATAGATGCCAGACCTGATCCTCGGCCTCTGTCATACGAATTTTCACAATTAGTTCGTTGCAAGAAGAAATGTTTGCAAACCCACGTAACAGCTGATATCGGAATAAATACAAAGAATATCAATGTATTAGACTCACATGTAATGCTCCACAACGAATGAAATGTGTCTATTATACGTATATGATATGATGTAAGTATATTATGAGAATGTAACGCGATAGGGACGAAGGGAGTGAGCGAGTATATTCCCCACTCAGTCACAGTATACTGACTCCTTGTTTTAGCCCATTATTGCCGAGTGGACAGGGTAACATCAAGTACCATCTGTTCACGTCTTTTCGTATGACGCGGCCGGGAATCGAACCCCGGGCTTTCTGCTCTCCAGGAGAACACTCTACCACTAAACCACGGAGGCGGTCCAATATATAACAGAAGAAGGTACACATACATTAAAGTTGAACGTAAGCTAAATAAGAAGTTGAAGCAAAACCTACTGATTTCAAAAGGACAAATCGACATGGATGTTAGGGGAAAAAGCGATAACACTAATTCCATAATCATAAGAAATATCTGTTAAAACCACAGTCTGTTTTAGACGATTGCGACTATATTATCAACATGTGTTTATGAATTACTATCAATTAGTGATGATACCAGGTGTTCGTCGCGAAAAGGTGTTCCGTATCCTGCCTCACTTGTGGCACCCTTCACAAACACATGCAAATCAAGTCAAACGTTCACATGAATACAGGTAAAAAAAGAGCTGCATCGGACATGAATTGTGGCACTGATGCGTTAAACATTTGGTAATGTCCTTCACATGTCTGCCATCAAACATTGCATTTTGCAAACTACAATAAGCCTATACATGCTGTAATCCTGACAACTTTCAAGCCAGAATTATTTTTTTTTTATTAAGTTATATACTTATGCAACAAAATCATTAAATAATTAAAGTTTTATGATGAATAAAAGATCAGGGTACCGTTTCACAAAGCTGTCGTAAATTTACACGCTCGTAGATTTTACGCCATATTTGCGCAATGTTTACGCCATAGTCTAAGACTGTTTCACAAAGCTACACTAAAACTGGCGTAACCTCGGCCAACTTACACGCACGTAAAAAATACGATTGGAGCTCTTTCCCCTTGTGAGGTAGGAAAATCCGCACTAGAGTTGTCTACCGTGGCAGGTGCTCTGAGCAGACGACGAAGCGCAATAAAATGGAGGACATTTGCGACAAGAAATCGAGGAAGAGAAACTTTTCGGCCACAGAAGTGGAACTTCTTACAGAAGAAGTTGGCAGCAATTCAGATGTGTTGTTTTCATCTTTTTCTTCTTGCATCACAAACAATCCGAAGAAGAAGACATGGGAGGATATTCTGACAAAGTGAGTGCATTTCACGGCATTGAACTCACATCTGTCATATGAAGGATGTGTTTTATTTGGAAGTGATAGACCTATGCCATTTAGAGTTATCGCGCTTGTTGTTATGCGGAAGTAAACAAATAGCGATTAAAGGTGACTGTAGATCTACTTGAACTTGCAAGAGGCCTATATTTCTTTGATAGTGCAAAATTTGAAAAGGTGGGAATTATTGTTATTGCTCGGGATACAGATCTGAAATATGCATAAGTGCATATACATGTATGCCCACATATAAGAGGTCGCGGAAGTATCACTATTCTCACATTATAAAACAAATTGCATATAGACTAAACGTAAATTTCCTTAATGTCCGGCTCAGTGATTAGGAACAAAAAACGCCAGAATCACTTTTTTTTAAACATCTTCATATTTAATGGTAGACAACAACAAGGCAATTGTCAAACATGGGTGACATCGAGCAAAACATATTATAATTTTGAAATAATTTTTGTTTACAGGATCAACGCCAATAACACGGAGGTAAGGACTGTGCCTCAGCTGAAAAAGAAATGGCAGGACCTCAGGGCTGCAGCCAAGAAGAAGGAGGTGACAAGGAGGAAGGAGAGTGTGAGAACTGGTGGAGGTGGCCCTCCTACACAACTCACTACTGTTGAACAGAAGGTATGAAACACAACAGGAAGAATATGTCAGATTATATGTAATAGTCTAATTGCCCAAATGCATGACCTATGGATTATGCATGAACATATGGATTGGGCCAGAAATTGTGATATGATACCTAGAAAAACAAATGTTACCTGTCTTAGTTATTTGTGTTATATATAATAATATAAGAGACTTATAAAAAGCTTAAATTGACTTTATTTCTACTGGCATAGGGGAAATATTTATGCAAAATACTGATACCATTTAGTTATTTACTTGTCTCATATTTCATGAAGTAACTGTGTTCTTCATTTCTTTAATTATAGATTGTGAGTTTGATTCCTCCTTGCCAGATTGAAGGAATTGCTGGAGGATTTGATTCGGGAGGTAAATATTTCCACGCCATTCCTCTTGACAGTACTGATTTAAGAATAGTGACTGTGGTTCACAAACCATTTAAATGGTTTTTTTCATTATCTTCATGGCATAGTCAACTCATTGATATGCTCCCAGATTTACATAAGTCATCATTCATGTGTTGAACCATTTATATTTCAAGTTGATGGGTCTTTTCTGGACTATGCTTTGGAGGCTGATCTTGATATGAGCACAGCAGCAATGGCTACATCTTCATTAACCTGTGACTTTAATGGTAGGCATTAATTAAAAATAATACACAAATATAAATTTTTCGAATGTTTGTGACCTTATGTATTAAATAAGTTGAGATAAAGCATTATAATAACTATTGCAAACATAAAAAAAAATTATTATTAGACTAGTTGATGTTTTAGTTATTTGGTCCTATCAAAACAGATACTCAACTCAGATATTCATGGTAACATTGATTTTCTGAAAGATATATATAGATCAAACAAATTTAAAACAAACCCATTTGTTTGATGATATGCTAAATACTGACATGGACAGGTCATAAAACTTGTGTACATGTGACAGCTTCAAATTGCTTTATTTATTTTGGTGGGAGATACAAATGTTATCCACACCAATTGAGTTACTTCTGATGATGAACTGCTTCATTTGTCTTTCTTTCACAGACACAGTCACTTGCAAAAAAGGGGGCGGTCGGGTAGCCCAGTGGTTAAAGCGTTCGCTCGTCACGCCGAAGACCCGGGTTCGATTCCCGACATGGGTACAATGTGTGAAGCCCATTTCTGGTGTCCCCCACCGTGATATTGCTGGAATATTGCTAAAAGCGGTGTAAAACCATACTCAGTCAGTCAGTCAGTCACTTGCAGCACAACAGAAGCAATGTGTATCACCCCAGCAGGGACAGGAACTTCAATTATGATGGAAGGTATTGATCTTCTACCAATAAATCACATCATATTATAATATAATACATATATAGTTATAAATAACTTGGCATCAACACAGTCATTGTACTCCAATATCAGAGACATTTGTCAGTTTTGAACAATGTACTGCACAAAATATATTATAAATGTGCTCAAACATTTTATTTTCAGACATCACAGCTAGAAAGGCACAAGGTGAACCAGGTTAAGATTTATGCAACATTTAGTCACACATTTTTATCAGTTTATCAATATGTGAACAGAACAAAGTTAAAATTACCTCTAATTAAATTATAAGTGCAATCAGCGAAGTGTCAGAAGCTCGAATCTGGTAACATTGTGTTCAGTATAGCAAGATCAGGTAATACTTATCCATGTAACAATACATTTCTGATAATGATGCTCAGGGGTCAAGTTGCAATATTGATTTAGACAATGTTTTATTACAGGACCAGATCCAGTTGCTGAAGCTATACTGCAATTAACAGCTGTACAGAGCCAGATTCTCTTGGCAGAAAACAGAAGAGTAGAGATTGAGGAGGAGAAGCTAAAGCTTCTCAGGGAATTTGTACATGTTTCTCCACTTAATGGACAAAATGTATCCCCCATAATAAAATTCTTTTGATCATGACAAAAGCTGGGTAATTTATTTTTTTGTATAATATGAAATTATATTAAGTCATGACTGTCTAGTAATACAGAGTAGAAAGTCACTTACATCTCATGATTTATATTCTTGTTCTTATTATAAATAATGAAAACAATAGCATAAGGCTGTAATTTAAGTGAATTTATGCAAAATTAATTGATGTCTTGGTGACAGTCCATCACAACCAGAGCTTGTTGTTGCGAAATCAGCTGCACATCGCAACTCTGTAGCAGTTCCCTCTCCTCTGAGTAGCTCAATGCCCTGGGGAAGTGGCAGTCTTTCATTGATACACATGTTATGCAGCAAAAAACAAGCCCGGACAACACACAAACTCCTTTCTGGGGTGAATTGTAAGACACCAGTTGTCTTGTGAAGGCATCTGGAAATGTGATGAAACACATTTTCTGTATTATAAGTTATTTTCCCAACTTCTTCACAGACGCCTGTTAGACAGGCTATGAGTTTGTTCAAAATTAAGTTGATAATGTTTTTTAAAATTCTTTTGAAATACTACAACAACTTAAAAAAGCTCATTTTGAGATAAGAAGTAACTCCATTTTATTTTTTTTCAAGTTTTCAACAATGATACCATGAATAGATACTATTACATGTTTTCCTCATGTAACTGTACCTTCAATATTTAACTATTTCACTTACAATAATTTCTTGGTTACATTACCAACTTACTGTTGCCACTTTAAACCGTACCTAAATCTTGACTTGCACAAGTCAAATGCTCTCTCTATTGTGTTCCGTGTCTTGATATGGCATCTATTGTATTTCTCCTGTCCTTCCGAGCTGGGATTGAGCACCGGGGTCAGCAGCCATGGTCTGCAGGCATATCTGTAACATAAGTAATAAGGATAACACTATATCCAGACAGGTCATCAAAATATTATCAATATTTTACTGAGTGCAGTTTTGTCAGATTGGTTTATCACACCTTGTAAAATTCAACTGTATTTAGCAAATGTAAGTGAAGTTCAGGTATATATGTTGTAGTTTTATTTACCCAGAGTCTCCAAGTAGCCATCCATCAATATTCTTCTTTTCAAAGTACTGACCAAGGGCAGAGTTATTCCATATATAACTGTCATGGACAGAGCCAGGCCACTTGAAGACACAGTTTGTAAATCTGAGAGAAAAATATAACAATTTATATCCATATAAATCCGACAGAAATCCAGTATTTAAAATACACATGCATAATTTTATAAAGCTCATTTACATATTTAGTTATTTAATGTATATATATAGAGATCTACATCTGCCTACAAATAAACACTATTAATTCACATTTTAATTATGGAACAGTTATACTACATGGAAACAATGGAAATTTGAAAACATTATCACAATGGATTCATTTTTACTGGTATGCATCATGATATATCTCGCCCAAAACGTTACCTAGGGGGCGCAGCATGCGTCAATGTCAAGGACATCTATTTCATGTTGTAATGTTTACATTTTGTCGTGCCTTGTTCAAGAGGAATAGGAATAATTGATTCATGCTAAAAGACATATCTACCATGTGTGTATGTATCTCACCTCATGTTGGCTTCACATACTGCCTGTATGTTCAGTGCATGGTAACCCTTCCGACAAACGTAGGCTACTTCGTCACGTTTCGGCGCCATTATGGGTACGAGTGTGCAGTCAATTGCACCAAGTACTTTAGGGAATCCAGCTATGTCGAAGAATGATTCTTTGGTACTCTTTTGAGTGGAAGGTATTGTGGGAAATACAAAATCAACCATGGTTGCACATAATGCGTCTGTTGTTGCGTGGATTGCTCTGCAGACGGAGGATTTACTCACACCGTGGATATTGGCAATCCCACTGTAAAACCCACCCTTGGAGAAGTATCTCAGAGCAATTAAAACATTAAGGTAAGGTGGTATTGCATGGGAACGCTCGGTTTGATGTTCAAGTCTGTCACTCACTTTACCAATGATAGAAAATATCATGTGTCGTGATAGGCGGTACCTCTCGATGATCTCATGATCATCCAAATCGTCGAGGGGGTTCGACCTGTCGCGGAAAACACGTTCTCGCTTACATACTTTTTTGGCAATCTCGTCCGTGTTTGGATTGATCGCCATCTTTATGGCTTGCGTAAATATTTACACCACCCCAAGACAACACGTAGAGTTTACGCCAATTTTACACGGACGTAATATTACACTAGCTTTGTGAAACGCCCCTAGTTCAGTATTTCCGAATTACGCCAGTTTTACACGCACGTAAGATTTACGACTGCTTTGTGAAACGGTACCCAGGTGTAGGGAACAGTGAGGCCATCGTATGACAAAGGTGCAACACAGAACAAAATTATCATATTACAGGTAATAGGTACACAGTGAATGAGTGATATTGGGGGTAAAATCGAACAATATAACAGATGGAGAAAAATAAGGTTTTGAATGCCGTAGCTACTCGTATTGTGAAAAAACTTGGATAAAACTGTTTAAAGCCTTGCAGTTAAGAATTACAATGACGAAACTAAGGCGATCACTGTGATTAATGTATACAGCAGTGACAACGATGATATCCTCCCATTTGCATTTAAATGTAACTTGGATGTGTTCCAGGGCGATGTTTTATGTAGTGATCACTTGCCAGAATTCACTGCAATTTATGTCAGTCCACTTAGACCTTCTGATGTGCATGTTCCTCGATAGAAATGTAAAAATGTAAACCGATCCGATGTTGCTTCGCTTTCTGAGCAACATATACTTCATAAATAACAACTGAAGATGTTGATGTTTCAAATAATAACATTACCAAACAAAATACCACTGGAAAAACGTCAAGTAAGCAATCTAGCGTCATACTTCGCTTCGTTGTGATATGTCTGTATTCTGAAAGAAACGTGCCGAGATTCAATGTGTAGTTCGAGGGGCAAAACTCTCAAGCTGCCGAAACTCGTATTCGGTTCCTATACCTGTCTTAGGCATAGACGGTTTGTCATTTTTCACGACCTGTTGATCTGTCTTTCTCAGAAAGAAAAGTATTTAGAAAGAAAGAGTTTCAAAGTGTCGTTCGTGGGGCACACCAATTTAGCTGGCGAGATTTACTCCATTTTCCTATGTTTGGTCTGGAATAAAAAGTTTCAGTAGTACCCATGTCTTGTTATTATACCTGTTTTAGGCTGGACTGCAGTAGAGTTATCGATTTTCAGAAGGCCAATCCGCTCTCAAAACTTGCTGAGGTATTTCAGAGGGATTCCATTTATGCAAACAAGAGTACATGTCATGCATCTTCCTCGAAGCTGAAAAAGCATATGATTTGGAGACTAGGACAAGAGACATTCGCTCCTTTCTTTCTGAAAGATCTATTCAATTTCATATTGGGCAGGACTTTTCTTGTTTTATCAGTTTAATCGAGAATGATACCCCACAAGATGGTGTTATGATAAATGACGTTTTCATTGATTTCCCATTAAATTAAGATGCATTTAGGAAACGGTTTGGAAATTTCATGTCGGAAAAGCTCAGACATCATTACTGTGTTGTGTTCTAAGTGGGGTTTTAGTTAGTTAAATTTAGTTACATCTCCAAATCTCATGCACGGGTGATAACCCGACGCAAAATGCTAACAAATATAGAACTAACCACAAAATATATATAGTACAAGAGTTTTTTTTCGTGATGTGTATTTTAACCATAGATTAATATGGGGTTCTCATAAATTTAATGTTGTGAACAAATGTAATAAGGTCATAAAATCTGATGAAGTATATTGCCAAAACTCAGTGGAGTGTTGAAACACATCAATGTTATTGCTTTAGAAAGCATTTATATTATCAAGGCCTGGCTCTGGCTGCCATGTATGTACATGTATGGATGCCTCAAAATGTCATCTTTCTAAACGCATTCAGTCAAAGGCTTTGAGCCTTTGCAACTACTCCAGTGACAGCTCTCCCGGTTGAATGCATATAATGGCCTCAATGTCCTTGCCGTTAACTCGTGTCACTCAAATAGTATCTCAACCTGAAATCTAAAACCAACCATAATTCAGCTAATGTAGTTGTTGATGAGAATGTTGCATATGTGGTTAGCGATTGGTCAAATGTCAAGGTCCCGTTTGGTTTGAGAATTCAGAAACTTGCTGCTGAGCATGGCGTTATAGAGTGCAACCCAGTTGATTCGTCTGCACATTCAGATACTGCTCCTTATCTGCTTCTGAACCTGGGTTTTGTTGTGATCTGAATCAAACAATTAGCAAACGAACGTGTCCACATATCACAAAAGATGTAGTTCAGGATATTACGGTTTAGGGTGCTAACATGATTGTAACATTAAAAAGCATTTAGGATTCGTTGTGGACAAGATTAAGTCCGAGCACATGTTTTGAATAATTCACCAGATTTAAATTGATTTGTGTATCAGTCTAGGGAGGTTATCAATGAAGCTTTATGTAATGCTTGTGCATGGTTTGAACACGTATTGTACATGTTCAGTTGAGACGATCAATGAGTTTTTTCGCTGAAGTAACGTACATACTTTGGCAAAGTGCCAGTATTTACGTCTGGATTTGGGCAGCACACATACTGGATCAGGCCCTGCCATAGAGTTGCACTTCGTGTAAATGGATTCGGTTATCATAGATGTAAACAGGTTTGATTTAGAAATATTTTTTGCAAACAGTCAAATTGACTAGGCAGGAGACTCAGAGGTAGCGAAATCGGAAGGGTGAACCACGTCACTACCAACTACATTTAGGGTTCTTACATGATGGCAACATTAAAAAGCATTTAGGATCAGCATTAGGTGCAGCCCTATTTAAAACATATTCTGTTATCAAAAATTAATAAGGATTCGCTGTGTGCATGATCTAGTCGGGACACATGTAATGATAGCTCACCCGAGTTAACTATTATCCAGTTAAAGTGATCAATGGGCTATCTTTCCGATTTATTGTGCTAGCTCACTGAGAAACCATGCCGCAGTTTAACATGAATAGCCCACTCAGACACAGTATACTGACTCCGAGCCGACCAGTCCTTGTTTTAGCCCCCATCTTTTAACGTCTTTTGGTACGACGCGGCCGGGGATCGAACCCCCGACCTTCCGCTCTCCGGGCTCACGGCGAGTAATAAATGTATGTATGTATGCATGTGTGTAAATGTACATTTATATACGTCGCGTTAATATCGCAGCAGTTAGTAAAACGACGACAATAATGGATACTTAGAATTTAAGTAACCCGCGGGAGCGAGAGAATAATTACTAAACTGTAATATTTACATGATATATTATTTATTTAGAACAATAAAATATATAATACAAAATATGACTGACTGAATAAGCTCAGGGATCTTGGGAGTGTTCATTTTTTTTAAGTGAGACTTGTTCCCACAGTATATAACCACACACTCTGCTGTTACACAATGTGTAATACACAGTTTAGTATTTTATTTATTACTTGTCGTTTATAACTTTGTGTATCTTGATTTGTGTATCAGTCTGGAAAGGCAATCAATGAAGCTTTATGTAATGCTTGTGCATGGTTTGAACATGTATTGTGCATGTTCAGTTGACGCAATCAATACGTTATCTCGCTGAAGTAACGTACATACTTTGACAAAGTGCTAGTGATAGTTTACCCGAGTTAACTATTATCAAGTTGAAGCGATCAATGCGCTGTCTTACTCACGTGATATACATACTTTGGCAAAGTGCCAGTATTGGACGTGTTACTTCTGGGTATGTGCAGTACATGTAGTGGATCAGGTCCTGCTATTGATCTACACTGCGTTCAAAGTGACTCGGCCGATATGGACGTTAACAGGTTTGATTTTAACATACTTTACTTGGAATGTAATGTATGTATGTATGTATTTATGTGCGTGCGTGCGTGCGTGCGTGCGTGCGTGCTTGCGTGCGTATATAGAATACTAAAAGACTTCCCTTGTAATTTTATGAAATTTATGAAACTCGTGTATAGTTCTTTAGCTCGTCATTAAATTTCATTTAATAAAATATGTATTACAAGGGAGGCAGTTTAGTATTTTATAATTTCACTATAGTGTGTGAATAGGCAGACATCTACGCGATTCACAGTGTCATTGATTAAGCCCAGGGATATTGGGAGTGTTCAATGAAACTTGTTCCCGCAGTACAAAATTGTTATTACACAATGTGTAATACAGCTGAATGTTTATTAAACGGGTGATCTCTTCACGGGCGAGTAGGTGAGGTGAGGTGAAATGGAGTTTAACGTCGCGTTTAATGTATGTATGTATGTATGTATGTATGTATGTATGTATGTATGTATGTATGTATGTATGTATGTATGTACACCACTTGACTGATTTGTCTAGCAAGTTTCACCACCACCATCTCCCCTAACTATCGATTGCTTTCTTCATCAGTCTTATAACTCAATCAAATAATCGTCATAACCAACCACCAACCTCTGTCAGCCCCTGCCATGTTACTACTGATCGAATAGTTGTTGTGTAACAATGGTTATCGGTGAATTGTGTGATAACAAAGTCACACATAAGCGATCTTAAGCCAGGATAAATGTTTTGTCGTAGCTATGGCTACATATATTTGTGAGTGGCGGCGATCAATGAATTATCTCTCTCATGTTACATGCACACTTGGCAAATGCCAGTATTCGACGTCACAATTCTGGGTATGTGTATACAGGTAGTACATAAGACCGAGACATAGATCTGCATCATGTGTGAACGGATCGGCGGGCAGGAAACGATGGATTTTAACAGGTCAAGCAGAACTCTTCCACATTAAAAACACTTTCTTCATTCTTGAGCATGGCACACTGTAAGCTTTTGAATGTCTGTTAACAGGATGCGAAATATTATAAAAACAACGTGTTCAACGTTAAGAAACGCGCTTAATATCTTAATACTTCAAAGCCTAACTCTACGGAAGAGATGTACTTGTTTCACGCGATAATCTACATGGTGGCCTCGAGCCTTGACATGACAAATCAAATCCTCGGATTTACGTTATTACAGTGGTTTCAAAAACAATGCTCGCCAGCGGCAGGAGTCAAATTCAGACCAATCTTTAAACCATCCTTATTCGCATGGAGTTGCTTAATTACACCACTTGCAACCATTCGAGTCTACTGTAAACACAGTGTTTGTTACGTTAACTGGAGCTCAATACAACGAGTATGCATCTAGCTGAAAAACAGCACTCCGGAAAAAGGCCTGGTTCCAAGAAATACGACAATGCCATGTAAGGTTCCAGTGTGGGTGTCAGTCCGCGAATAGTAGTCTGGTCTTTGTTCTCTGTTTTAGATGGGAGAAAACAAATATTATCAGTATTGAAAGTTTCGTTTGGCTACCATCGCAGTGTTTTTGTCTTTTTTTGGAATCGACTGAAATAATAAAATTAGTGTAGACACACAACAGACGAGATGTGATAATTACGGTGGCCCATAAGGGACATGGAGTCTGTTTTTCCATATTTTGATATTTCACTTACTTTTATCGTTACCTTTTGCAAATTAACACAATTTGTCTTACAAGCATGTGATCAATCATGTGTAAAGAAGATATTGAATTGCTGAAAAGTGAAACGAAAATGCCAAAAACTAAAATGAAAATGACAAAAACAAAAGCAAAAATTTCAAAAACTAAAATGAAAATGCAGAAAAATATTTCCACCGCAGTGATAATATTTCCACGGGAAATAGATTCGCACTCTTCAAGCAAAGCTGATATTGCACATTCAAAATATGATGTCGGAAAAGTTGAGAATCGGATGATCTTTTCATGCTCTTATAACGGGTATTGGATATGTCAATATACTCTCATTGCTAAATGTAATTGTATTGGTTACAGGATTAACACACACACCTGCTGTTGTATGATGCATAAAATGTATTTCCTCGAGAATCAACAAAATCGATATACAGTAACAAAGACCTCAGTCCTACAATATACAATATACCACTAGGCTACCCGCACTCCCGCTAAAAATACTCTATTGAGGGTCGACATTTACGGATGACAGAAGGATAGGGCGAAACTCTAGTTTCAGACTCTTCCAGCAAATCTGATAAAAATTTCATATTCAAAATATGATTGTGAAAGGTTATAGGCGTGTATTCATTGCAATAGCTCACCTTCTGCAGCACAAATCCTGGAACCATGTTGAAAACGATTATGGTAAATCGAGTCACAATTAAGTTCAAGGTTTTTAATGTTGTCGTAATGTGTTGTTACGTATAATATTCGTACAGCAGTGATAGGATTCTACATTGACCTGATACTTCTGCTGATAGTTCCCGTGATAGTCAGTGTCTATTGCTATAATATCCTAATCATTAAAGGAACAGAACTCCTACATGTGGAGTTTTGTCGACGAGAGTTGCTCTTTTCAATTAAAAAAACTCACAAGGGCTTATTCGTTTTTATAATCACTTTGAAACATTAATTACAATAGTTTCTATTTTCAATGTAAATGTTTGGGACAATCTGCGTCAGATTCTTCATTACCAAAGCTTTCGATAATTTGACGGTTATATAATGATAACATGGGTAGGTGTTTGTAAACACATGGTGTCATCACTATTTGATAGTGATTCATAAACACATACTCATGATATAGTCGGAATCGTACAATCAACTCTGGTTTATGCAGATATTTCTATTGGATATGGAAAAGTTTTTGTCGCTTTATTTGTGGGACATAAACACTACAGAGTTAACCGATTCCAGTGGGTGAACCGCACCCATATAAAAAAACATGACCATGTTTATGGTGCTGACAAACCTAGAAACATCATCAGGGCGAATATGAGGTTCTGGCAGTCCTACCAGACCCAAATAGTGTACAGCAAGTTGCACTGCCACTGTTGTATGTTAAACACTTACTAGGGCATTTATGATTCGCTGTGCACTGGATTGAGTCTGTATCAGTCTGGAAAAATCAATGAACCTTTATGTCGAAACACCTATCGCAACCTGATCAGTCGTACTACATAATATGTGTCTCAAGAGGACATAAATGTGATCTTCATGCGGACTCTGTTTTAGATGTAGATTTTTGTTGATTTAAGAGATCAGTGAGTAATCTTACTCATAGGACATATATGCTTGGGCAAAGTGCAAGTATGTGACGTCGTGTAACTTCTGGGTATGTGCAGTGCCCTTAGTGAATCAGATCCTGTTGTATATCTAGAGTGTAAGCATGGATGGTTTGATTTAAACATTTTATTGCAAAAATTCAAATGTATAAGGCACTGTTACGACGTAAATTGTAATAAAAAGGTAAATTGTAATACTGGCAGCAAATTGTAATAATTTTGACGTAAATTGTAATAACAACGTTAATTGTAATAATATTTGACGTAAATTGTAATACTCAAATTGTAAAAAAAATTCACGTAAATTGTAATTGTAATCTCTACTTGCGGTAAAATGTAATAAATTTTTCGTAAATTGTAATAAAATTACTACCGTAGTCTCCAAGACGCCAATTGACTAGAAATGATCTTTGTCGGTTGAGCTTGCGTTTCACATGTACAATTCGAGAAATACTATATGTAGAAGTGCTGTCATAGATCTGATTCCAATGACCCATATAGAGGTCGTATTTACACACACACACACACACACACACACACACACACACACACACACACACACACACACACACACACACTACTTTTGCGTGGCATACGACACCATTATGCTCAACGACGTACGGCTATAGGTTAAACGGTTGATGATAAGCATAATGACATATTCGTACATTCGATGTATAATTGGGTATTGGGTATAATTGTATAACTGGACAGCATCTGGTCAGGATCTGATCAGTAACTGGGCAGGATCTGGTCAGTGGCTTTGTCATTCAAATGATAATTGTCAGTTTATCTCCAACTCGTGTCCCTCCGACTCATGACCGCTGGTCAACCCTTATGATAGGGATTATTTTAATTAGTGCCTTGCCGACGACAATGCGTTACTCTACCTAAATGCATACAGTCCCTATCATAAGGCTTGACCTATCCAGATACTGACCAGATGCTGGCCATATTTGGCCCTCACTCCATGAAGGTTCATACTCCGATGAACTCACACAAAGTGAAGGTTATTTCTTAAATACAAAGAAAGAAGATGACAATTATTAACATTTAGCTAATTAGGGTTAAACATTGAGTTGTTTCTTCAACCATCCATTCATTGATAAGGATCAGGGTCGTATGCAGCAGTTAATGGTACACGATGTAGTGTCTGGTTACTTCCAGTCACATATACTTCATGTGAAATGTAACAGCAGATAATAGGTATAAACACCTTGTATCGTCCCTATTGATAGTGATTCATGAACACATGCTCACTATACAGTCGTACCATGAACACTGCTTTGCACAGACATTTCTCATGAATATGGGAAGAGTTTTATCGCTTTTTTTAAATAAAGAAAACATAAGTTGAAGCGCCATCATATTCAGCGCCCTTCTGGAGCCTTCGCAAAAGGTATTTACATAAAGTATAAAACGATCCGATCGTGCATACACTGACGTGTTTAATCATGAAATTTTATAACTAATGTTATCAAACAATATTCCACATGACTAACCACCGGCCCGGGTAGTTCTGTGGGTACCCGGGTCCTATTCAGTACCCACCCGACCCGAGCAGCCGAGTTACACGTCACAGCCCTAACCTTTATCTTGATAATTTGGTGGTGTTTGTGTTTGCAAACATGTTTTAGAAAAGGAATCTAAGCTTTAATTGTTATTGATCGCGAGAAAGCCCGCACTCTATTGCCAGGCTGATCCTTGACAAGACAGTCGAA